GAGGATGTTCTTAATCAAATAGTAAAACTCAAACCAAACAAATCCCCAGGGCCGGATGAAGTGTTTGCCAGAGTGCTTAAATAATGCAAAGAGGAGCTTTGTGACCCACTGTCAACCATATTTAATAAATCAATAGAGTCAGGCAGAGTGCCAGAGTTTTGGAAAGTTGCTAATGTGATACCAGTTTTTAAGAAAGGAGATAGATCACTTGCGTCTAACTATCGACCAATTAGCCTAACGCCACACACAGAAACTATTTGGATAGATTTATACGAAAAAGCAAATATTATAATAGGAGTTATATATAGGCCACAAAATTTAGACAGAATGGAAGCAAAGCATCTATGGGATGAAATATCTAGAGCATCTAGATCTAACAGTATTTACGTCATGGGTGACTTTAATTTTAGTGGAATAAACTGGTTGAACAAAACAGCAGGGAATAGTGAAGCAGAAGATTTTCTAGAATTAATTGACGATTGCTTTCTTATGCAACACATTAAGGAACCAACGCGGGAAAATAATATTTTAGATTTAGTGTTAACTAACAGGGAAACATAAATTAATGACATCGAAATAGGGAGTGAGCTAGGGAACAGTGATCACAAAGAAATCAGATTTAGCATAGAATGGAATAGACCAGTAGGAGAAAATTCTGTTAAAGTGCCAGATTTTCGAAAAGCTGATTTTAATAGCCTAAGAAATTTTTTGGGTCAAATTGATTGGAAAGTCTTGGGTATGGGGTGGGGGCCGGTCTTGGAGCGAGACATGAACCCAGCGATAGGTGACGTAAATGGGGATTTCGATGTGGATTCAATATACAACTTATTTAAGAATATTCTAAACAAAGCACAGGAACGTAGTATACCATACAAATTGAATAGATCGAATACTAATGACCCAAAGTAGATAACAAAGAATTTGAAGAACCTTATAGGTAAAAAGAGAGCTTGGTACAAAAGGATTAAGAACGTAAGAACAAAAGCAACTGCAGAAGGCCTATTGGCCCATACGAGGCAGCTCCTATTTATAACCACCCAATCCCACTCACATACATGTCCAACCCATGCTTGAAACAATCGAGGGACCCCACCTCCACAATGTTACGCGGCAATTGGTTCCACAAATCAACAACCCTATTACTGAACCAGTATTTACCCAAGTCTTTCCTAAATCTAAACTTATCCAATTTATACCCATTGTTTCGTGTTCTGTCTTGTGTTGATACTTTAAATACCCTATTAATATCCTCTTTGTTATGTCCATTCACCCACTTGTAAACCTCTTTCATGTCACCCCTAACTCTTTGCCTTTCCAGTGAATGCAACTTTAGCTTTGTTAATCTTTCTTCATATGAAAGATTTCTAATTTGGGGAATTAACTTAGTCATCCTACGCTGGACACGTTCAAGTGAATTTATATCCATTCTATAATACGGCGACCAAAACTGAACTGCATTATCTAAATGGGGCCTAACCAGAGGAAGATATAGCTTAAGAACCACACCAGGTGTCTTGGTACTAACGCTTCTATTAATAAATCCCAGTGTCCTATTCGCCTTATTACGAACATTCATGCATTGATCCTTTTGTTTTAAATTCTTACTAATCATAACTCCCAGATCCCTTTCGCAATTCGACTTCGCAATCTCAACACCATCTAGCTCGTGTCTTGTAACCCTATCATCATTACCTAACCTCAGAACTTTACATTTATCAGCATTAAACTGCATCTGCCAATCCTTCGACCATTTCAAAACCCTATCTAGATCAACTTGAAGTGATAGTGAGTCCTCCTCCGAATTAATTTCCCTACCGATTTTCGTATCATCGGCAAATTTGCAAATGTTGCTACTCAAACCTGAATCAAAATCATTTATATATATTATAAACAACAGAGGTCCCAGGACAGCGCCCTGAGGCACTCCACTTACAACATTTTCCCACTCTGACTTGACTCCATTTATACTAACTCTCTGTTTCCTTTGGTATAGCCATGCCCTAATCCAGCATAATATAGCACCCCCAATACCATGAGACTATCTTTTTAATCAGTCTTTCATGTGGCACTGTATCAAAAGCTTTGCTAAAGTCAAGGTACACAACATCGCAATCCTTACCACTATCAACTGCCTCAACAATGCTAGAATAAAAAGATAACAAATTTGTTAAACATGAACGGCCATTTGTAAAACCATGTTGCGACTCAATTATTAATTTATGTTTTTCAAGATGAAGACGAATTTTATTTGCTATTATAGATTCGAGTAACTTTCCCACAATAGACGTTAGGCTAATTGGTCGATAGTTAGACGCAAGTGATCCCCTTTCTTAAAAACTGGTATCACATTAGCAACTTTCCAAAACTCTGGCACTCTGCCTGACTCTATTGATTTATTAAATATGGTTGACAGTGGGTCACAAAGCTCCTCTTTGCATTCTTTAAGCACTCTGGCAAACACTTCATCCGGCTCTGGGGATTTGTTTGGTTTGAGTTTTACTATTTGTTTAAGAACATCCTCCCTGGTAACTGTTAAACTCGTCAACCTGTCCTCGTCCTCACCCACATAGACTTGTTCGGCTGAAGGCATATTGTTAAGTTCCTCTTTAGTAAATACAGATACAAAATATTTATTAAAAATACTACTCATCTCTTAATCACTATCTGTTATTTGACCTGTCTCAGTTTTTAATGGACCTTTCTCCTTCTCTAGTCTTAGTACTATATAACTGAAAAAACCCTTTAGGATTTGTCTTCGCTTGCACTGCTATGCGAACTTCATAGTTTCTTTTTGCTTTCCAAATCTCTTTTTTAACATTTCTAACCAGTTGTATGAATTCCTGTTCTAACCTGACTTCCCCATTCTTAATCCTTTTGTACCAAGCTCTCTTTTTACCTATAAGGTTCTTTAAATTATTTGTTATCCACTTTGGGTCATTAGTATTCGACCTATTCAATTTGTATGGTATACTACATTCCTGGGCTTTGGTTAGAATATTCTTAAATAGGTTATATTCCCCAAATTAGAAATCTTTCATATGAAGTAATATTAACAAAGCTTAAATTGCATTCACTGGAAAGGCGAAGAGATAGGGGTGACTTGATAGAGGTTTACAAGTGGATGAATGTACATAACAAAGGGGATATTAATAGGGTAATAAAAGTATCAACACAAGACAGAACACGAAACAATGGGTATAAATTGGATAAATTTAGATTTAGGAAAGACTTGGGTAAATACTGGTTCGGTAACAGGGTTGTTGATTTCTGGAACCAATTACCGCGTAACATGGTGGAGGTGGGGTCCCTCGATTGTTTCAAGCGCGGGTTGGACATGTATATGAGTGGGATTGAGTGGTTATAAATAGGAGCTGCCTCGTATGGGCCAATAGGCCTTCTGCAGTTGCCTTTGTTCTTATGTTCTAACAGTAGCACCAGCAACATCAGCAGCACCAGTAACAGTTTTAACTGTCGCGCCAGCAACAGTAGCAACAGCAACATCAGCAGCACCAGTAACAGTAACAACAGCAGCACCAGCAACATCAGCAGCACCAGTAACAGTAACAACAGCAGCACCAGCAACAGAAACAACAGCAACAACAGTAACAACAGTAGCGCCAGTAACAGTAACAACAGCAGTACCAGCAACATCAGCAGCACCAGTAACAGTAACAACAGCAGCACCAGCAACAGTATCAACAGCAACAAAAGTAACAACAGTAGCGCCAGTAACAGTAACAACAGCAGCACCAGCAACATCAGCAGCACCAGTAACAGTAACAACAGCAGCACCAGCAACAGTAACAACAGCAACAACAGTAACAACAGTAGTGCCAGTAACAGTAACAACAGCAGCACCAGCAACATCAATAGTACCAGTTACAGTAACAACAGCAGCACCAGCAACAGTAACAACAGCAACAACAGTAACAACAGCAGCACCAGCAACAGTAACAGCAGCAGCACCAGCAACATCAATAGTACCAGTAACAGTAACAATAGCAGCAACAGTAACAGCAGCAGCGCCAGTAACAGTAACAACAACAGCGCCAGCAACAGTAATAACAGCAGCACTTACAACACTATCAACAACACCGGCAGCAACAGCAGCAGCAACAACAGTAACAACAGCAGCACCAGTATCAATGACAACAGCAGCACCAGTATCAATAACAACAGCAGCAACAGTAACAGTTACAATAGCAGCACCAATATTAATAACAACAGCAACATTAACAACAGCAGCACCAGTATTAATATCAACAACAGCAACAGTAACTACAGCAGCAACAGTAACAACAGCAGCAACCATAACAACAGCAGCACCAGTATCAATAAAAACAGCAGCACCAGTATTAATAACAACAGCAGCAACAGTAACAACAGCAGCACCAGCAACAGTAACAACAGCAGCACCAGCAACAGTAACAACAGCAGCACCAGCAACAGTAGCAACAGCAACAGTAACAACAGCAGCACCAGCAACAGTAACAACAGCAGCACCAGTAACATTAAGAACAGCAGCAATAGTAACAGTAACAAAAGCAATACCAGCATCATTACCAACAGCAGCACCAGCAACAGAAACAGCAGTACAATCAAGAGAAACAATAGAAACACCAGCAACAGTTACAACAACAGCAACAACAGCAATCGTAACAACAGCAGCTCTAGCAACAGTAACAGCAGCATAAGCAACAGTAACAACAGAAACACCATCAACAGAAACAACAAAAACACCAGTAACAGTAACAACATCAACATTAACAACAGAATCAACAGTAACAATAGCAGTACCAGCACAAATAACAACAGCAGCACCAGCACCAATAACAACAGCAGCACCAGCACCAATAACAACAGTAGCACCAGCAACAATAACAACATAATCAACAGTAACAACAGCAGCACCAGCAACGGTAACAACAGCATCACCACCAACAGTAACAACAGTGGCAACAACCGCAACAAAAACAACAGAGGGAAGGAGCTAGACTCACCCGGTACTCTCACTGGCGACGCTGAAGGTGGACCAGAGCGCCCAGCGGTGATCATCCTGTTGGTACCTGTTTGTGGCGGCCAGACGCAGCGTCTGAGGCAAGGGCTGCGTCAGCTGGTGCACCGCCTCCGTCCCTGTCACAGATGGTAATGTAGCCCTCCGTCCCTGTCACAGATGGTAATATAGCCCACCGTCCCTGTCACAGATGGTAATGTAGCTCTCCGTCCCTGTCACAGATGGTAATGTAGCCCTCCGTCCCTGTCACAGATGGTAATATAGCCCTCCGTCCCTGTCACATATTGGTAATATAGCCCTCCGTCCCTGTCACATATTGGTAATATAGCCCTCCGTCCCTGTCACATATTGGTAATATAGCCCTCCGTCACTTTCACAGATGGTTATATAGCTCTCCGTCCCTGTCACACATGGTAATATAGCCTTCCGTCCCTGTCACATATGATAATATAGCCTTCCGTCCCTGTCACAGATGATAACAACCTGGTGTTGTTTTTCAGCTATATCTAGTAGTGAAATATGTGACTAGAAATGTGCGCACCATCTGGGTAGATGGTCCTATTATAGCCAGCTGTCTAGATGGGGCAAAGGTATGTAGCCACATAGTGTTGTAGGTGAATTTTCTCGGATGTTGTCGCATGTCAGATGCATGTGAGCGTCCGGTGTTTGGTTACGCGGTCTGGGATGATGGAGGGTCATGTTGTGTGGGGGTAAGAGAGCATGTGGTGTATGTGGTAGAGTACGGAATATGAGGAGAAGAGTAGAATATGTATTATATTATATATAATATGTATATAAAAGTATTTGAGAGAGTGATTAGGAGTCAGGTCACCAATTTCATGGAGACCAATGACCTACACAACCCAGGCCAACATGGATTTCGAGCGGGAAGATCGTGCCTCTCACAGCTACTTGAGCACTACGACAAAGTCACTGAGGCATTAGAAGAGAAACAGAATGCTGATGTGATATACACGGACTTCGCAAAGGCTTTCGATAAATGTGACCATGGCGTGATAGCACACAAAATGAAGTCAATGGGAATAACCGGTAAAGTAGGGCGCTGGATACTCAGTTTTCTGTCAAACAGGACTCAGCGAGTAACTGTCAACCATATAAAATCTAGTCCAAGTGCAGTGAAAAGCTCTGTACCTCAGGGTACAGTCCTTGCACCGCTGCTTTTCCTTATTCTCATATCAGATATAGACAAAAATACAAGTCACAGCTTCGTATCATCCTTTGCAGATGACACAAAAATCAGTATGAAAATTACCTCGGCTGAGGACATTGAAAAACTTCAAGCTGATATTAATAAAGTTTTCGACTGGGCATCAGAAAATAACATGATGTTTAACAGTGATAAATTCCAGGTACTCAGGTACGGTAAAAATGAGGACCTTAAACATAACACAGAGTACAAAACACAATCAAATGTACCCATAGTAGGAAAACAGCATGTAAAGGATTTGGGAATAATAATGTCTGACGACCTAACGTTTAAGGAGCATAACCAAGCAAATATTGCGACAGCCAGAAAAATGATAGGATGGATTACGAGAACTTTCAAATCCAGGGATCCCATCACAATGGTTGTACTCTTCAAGTCACTTGTGTTGTCCCGTCTTGAGTACTGCTCAGTACTCACTTCCCCCTTCAGAGCAGGAGAGATTGCTGAAATAGAGGGAATACAGAGAACATATACGGCACGCATAGATGCAATAAAGCACCTAAATTATTGGGATCGTCTCAAAGCCCTCCAAATGTACTCACTCGAAAGAAGACGAGAGAGATATCAAATAATATACACCTGGAAGATACTGGAGGGCCAAGTACCAAATCTACACAGTAAAATAACAACGTACTGGAGTGAACGACATGGAAGAAAATGTAGAATAGAACCAATGAAGAGCAGAGGTGCCATAGGCACAATCAGAGAACACTGTATAAACATCAGAGGTCCGCGGTTGTTCAACGTCCTCCCAGCAAGCATAAGAAATATTGCCGGAACAACCGTGGACATTTTCAAGAGGAAACTAGATTTATTCCTCCAAGGAGTGCCGGACCAACCGGGCTGTGGTGGGTATGTGGGCCTGCGGGCCGCTCCAAGCAACAGCCTGGTGGACCAAACTCTCACAAGTCGAGCCTGGCCTCGGGCCGGGCTTGGGGAGTAGAAGAACTCCCAGAACCCCATCAACCAGGTATCAACCAGATGTGGATAAGAGTAGATGAATATGTATGGGTGTTTGCCGTCGAGTAAATCCTGTGTAGAGATAAATAGTTTGATTAATAGATGAGTCTAAGTAATGCTATGTAGAGGGTGTGTGGAGGTGTGAGGGGTCCCAACATAGGTGGATATGTTGATAAGGTGGGGGAGAGGTGAGGGGAGCTTTCCCTTGGCAGGAGAGGGTTGGAGGGTCATTGTGGTTGAGAAGCGAGGGTGGAATGGGTTTGCGGTTTTTGACGGCCATTATTTTCTTCGAGCTATGCAGCTGTGTTTGGTGATGATCCATGAGGAGAATAGTTATGCCTTACACGGCAGGAAGTGTCGAGGAGGGTGGGGGAGAATGAGAGGAGGTAGCAGTTGGCGGAGAAGGTCTGTTTTATGTAACAAAGCACAGGGGTGTGTATAGGTGACAGAGCAGGAGGTGTTGGAGCTACACCAGGACGGATGTGGTCCATTAGCCTTAATCGTTTATCATAGTCTACAGAGGGGTGTGTACTGTCCACCATTCAGTGGCTAAATGAAGAGTATTTCCAGTAGGTGTTTGAGATATATTTTCCCCTTCCCCGCCCAACCCCCTCAGCTCCCCTTGTCAGGGGACAAGCGGCATCTATCATGGGTAATTTCACACTCCATGGGTCTGGAAGACTGCTTTGAGAGTTTTGTCAGCACACACCTCAGCCAGAATGTTTGTGTTTTCTCGCTAGTGAAAGAGAGAATATATGCGCCTTTTATAACATTCTTTGCTGAATATTTCAATTTTTTCTCACACAAGCAACCATATTGGGTGCGCAATGACTGCCATTACTTTCTCCTACACGGGCGGAAGTGCCGCGGGGTTCCCTTACCCACTGTGGTTTCGTAAGGAAAGGGAGATGTAGCTACTGTCAGCAGGCCCCACCAGTTCCACATACCATCCCCCTCACACTGGGGGGAGTGACAGCAATGGGGTGTACCATCTCTCTCTCTCTGTCTCTCTCTGTCTCTCTGTCTCTCTCTGTCTCTCTCTGTCTGTCTCTCTCTCTCTCTCTCTCTCTCTCTCTCTCTCTCTCTCTCTCTCTCTCTCTCTCTCTCTCTCTCTCTCTCTCTCTCTCTCTCTCTCTCTCTCTCTCTCTCTCTCTCTCTCTCTCTCTCTCTCTCTCTCCTGACACACTGGGACATAGCATTGAGTGTGTCATTGTTCTTTCTCAAAGGTGAGCCATGACCTGAACATACAAATTCCAAATGCAGGCCTGGGCGGGAGAGAGCATTTGTGGGCGGCTCTCCTCTTGGGAATCCGACACACAACTGGGCTAAATAAGACAACACCGCTCACATAACCCACGCTCCAACAGACCCCCTCCCCCCAGCCCCTCCTCCCCCTTACCATCAACCATCACCCCACCCTCCCCCACATCGGTTTTCTGTGCAAAGCCTTTAGCATTATTTCTGATCATATGTGTAACCTTGTATCGCAACGTGACCAACATTATAACATCATTCTTTGCTCAAACAGCAATTTTTTAAGAGTAGCGAGAGTCATAAGGTGGTCTTTAATCTTAATATTATAACAAATCATAATTTTTTTGTAAACACAACTGCATGGGATACACATAGCAGTCAATGGTTACTCTCTCTCTTTCTCTCTCTATTCAGATCATTTAATAGTTAGGGGGAAAAGTAACATCAATTCCTTTCTCCTGCCACCGCTGTTCACATATCTTTTTTCATTTCACTTAGACTGACAGCTCACCAGAGGATGGAAGACTAATATAAATTTTCGAGTCCCCATCACTCTCACCCTTATAACCTTGTAACGTAACATGACCAACATGATGACATCGTTCTTTGCCCAAATATCATTAATGTAACGTGACCAACATGGTAACATCGTTCTTTGCCCAAATATCATTTTAAGAGTAACGAGCAACTTTCTGTCCGATGTCTGAATATTGAAATGTGAACCGTGTTTAGCCCTTACATTCCAAACACAATAAAATATTAGCACAAGCTTGTTTAGTTCTTGTATCACGTAACGTAACGTAGCGTTTATTCAACAACTGGTAGACATAACATAATGTAGCTTCATATTCACTATGGTAAAACAAACAAACAAACATACATACACATCGCGGTCAATCCTCGCTATATAAGAAGGTTAGGTAGAGAAATAGAAACAATTGAACTCAAGCTACAAGAATCATACAAAACCCAGGAGAGGCAAAGAGAGCAAAAGGTCATCAGTGAAATAGAAAGAAATCCGAAATATTTTTTCTCCTATGCAAAATCAAGATCAAAAACCACATCTAGTATCGGGCCCTGCGAAAGGGAGATGGAACTTTCACCGATGACAACAAAGAAATGAGCGAGCTACTGAGGACGCAGTACGACTCTGTTTTCAGCGAGCCATTAAACACACTAAAGATTGATAACCCAAATGAATTTTTCATGGATACGATACCAACATCAAATCATATATCAGACGTCACCCTATCCCCACTGGATTTTGAAGAAGCCATAAACAGTATGCCTATGCACTCTGCACCAGGCCCGGATTCTTGGAACTCCATATTCATAAAGAACTGTAAAAAAAACACTATCACAGGCCCTCCACATTCTGTGGAGACAAAGCCTAGATACTGGCGTTATTCCTGATATACTAAAAACAGCAGAGATAGCACCACTCCATAAAGGAGGAAATAAGGCAGAGGCAAAAAATTACAGACCGATAGCGCTAACATCGCACATCATAAAAATTTTTGAGAGAGTGCTAAGAAGTAAAATCACAAAATACATGGAATCACAGCAACTCCATAACCCCGGACAACATGGTTTCAGAACAGGGCGCTCTTGCCTGTCGCAGTTGCTGGACGACTATGATATGGCATTAGATGCTATGGAAGACAAACATAACGCGGA